CAATGAGTCAGCTCTTCCCATCAGGTGCCCAAAGTATTGGAGCTTCAGCTTCAGCATCAGTCCTTCCAATGAATATTCAGGACCGATCTCCTTGCAGTCCAAGGGACTCTCAAGACTCTTCTCCAACACAACAGTTCAAAAGCATCAATTCTTCGGTGCTCAGTCTTCTTTATGGTCCAACTCTCACATCCGTACATGACCCCTGGAAAAACCACAGCTTTGACTAGATGGACCTTCACAATGACTGACTAGCCAAAATCGTGTCAAGCGTCCCTGGAAGACCGTGACTGTCCCTATCTCCAGACTGGCCTCCCTAAGGAAGTGACATCCGAGCTGAGACCAGAAGAATCAGAAACGCCCACAGCTCATCCGCACGACTGTCGTGCGTGGTTCTCAGCAGGTATTCCCCACTGCCATTAGGTGACAGTTTGACCCCCATCCTACGGATGAAGTGAGTGAAAACAAAGATGATGACCTTGACCAAGGTCACCCAGGGGAGAAGCGGTGTAGACAGATCTGAGCCCTGGCTCTTCACCACTGGGCGCAGGGGCCAAGGGCAGGGAGGGCGGGAGTGAAGTGGGAGTGCTGCTAGATGGGGGGTGGGTGGGATGCAGTCCCGAGGGCTGAAGGATGGGCTCTGTTCTTAACCCGAGAGCCGGGGGAGGACGGGGGTGGGGTGATCAGACCCCTCCCTGGGTGGGGGAGGGCCCAGGGCAGCACAGTCTGGGCTGGTGAAGGAGCTGCAGGAAGGGGCCTGGGGTGCAGACTGCATCTCTGGTCCTCAGGAGCCCCGTGTTACAGCCTGCGTCTCACACGCAGCGCACGGCCCTGGACCGTGTGTGCAGCCACCAAGAGCCGCACAGACTGTTCCAGGACGTGGCCAACCTCGAGGCGAGAGAGGCAGACTCAGGAACAGGTGAGGTTGCCTCCGATTTTCTCACACTCGCTGGGAGAAACACCCAGGGGGCAGAGACTAAGAAGCTGGCGGAGCTTACCGCTGAGAACTAACGTTAAACCGGGCTCGTGTTATTTTTTTCGCCATGTGGTGTTTTGGTTTTGGCTGTATCCCCTCTGGTACCTTTTTGGCAAAGGTCACAATTACTTTTGTAATCAGACAAGTAAATAATAAGTAACTGGCCTGTGGGGTTAACCACAGACATGCAAATGGTCCTGGCTGAGTGTGGTGGCCGCTGGGCTGAGACTGGTGGAGGCTGCCTCCTGGTGGACACATACGCCGAGGACCGGCCTGGGCTGTAGGACGGCGGCACAGACATCTCAGTGACAGCTCACAGGGTCACTCATTGTGTCACTCAACAAACACACGCTCATCACCTTTTAAACGCCAAGCATGATGGGAATACAAAACCCAACTTACATACTGTTTAAAATAATGGTGTTTATAACAAAATCACGTTTCGGAACAAGGCTTATGTCTGCTTTTGTTGGAGATGTGTTTTGTTTCCACCTTGGTCCTGCTCCTTGGACACTAGTAAGTTTATTCCCAGGTTGTTACGGAGAAGCGGGGTGGTTTTCTTGGCACATTTCCTGATTATAATTATAGTCCAGAAGCTGCTGATTTTCATTTATTGCTCACCTCGGGCCATCTCCCTGGACTGTTTCGCAGGCACACAGTCAGGTGGAACGCTGCTTCTTCCGACATGCAGTGACTGTAGTCTGGTCCGAGATGTGTCCATCCCACCCCCACCCCCGAACCTCCAGACCCCCGCTCCCCCGTGCTGCTCTTCAGCCGGGAGCGCCTGGCAGGTTCTGCCATGGGGGCCCTGGCGGCTCGGGGGGCAGGAGCGGCCAGGCGCCCTCTGCCTCCCCCACCCCCCCACTCCTGCCAGGACACGCACTGGAGGCTGGGTCCTCCCCCCACGCCCCCAACTCGTCCCCTGGTCCGCTCAGAGGTGCTGGCTGGCTCCCGCCGCCCTGGGCCCCTCCAGCTCCCTCCACTCCCCGCTGGGTCGTGAGACCCCACGGCTGGGCCAGCGAGCTTTCCTTATCTAGAACACTAGTCAGGATGACAGGTCAAGCCCGTCGCATTTCATTTCCTTCTGAGGCCCTGCCCATCCTGCAGGAAAGGAGTCTTAAGCTGGAGAACAAGACGGGGCAGCACAATGTGGGAGGCTGGGGAGAGGGCGGGCCCGCAGCCATGACTGCGCGGGTCCCAGGAGAGCAGCCAAGAACCCCCCTGTCTACACAGCCGGCGTCCCCAGAACCCCCCCGTCTACACAGCCGGCGTCCCCAGAACCCCCCCGTCTACACAGCCGGCGTCCCCAGAACCCCCCCGTCTACACAGCCGGCGTCCCCAGGGCTCCGGTGGCAGTGCTCGCCCTCTCCTGCCCCAGGAGGCTCTCTGAACCAGACCCGGCAGAGCTGGGGGCCTGGTCCCCTTCTCACACGGAGGCCTGGGACGCAAACGCATGCTGCTGGGGGACGCTGGAGTGTGTGGCGCCCAGAATGCCGGGGGCAGATGTTCCCCCACCCGGGGGAGGACGGAAGTTCTCCGGGACTCTAACCTGCCCAAGAGGATAAGCCCTGCAGACTCTGGATGCCAGGTTCCAACAAATGGCTTCCGGAGGATCTGATCACACCCCGCCCGGACCCCACTCACATTCTGAGCTTCCAATCTGCCGTCAAGCTGAACAGGAGCTTCTTACTGGGGTGACTGGACATCTGAGGAGCAAGTGCTAGGAAAGACAGATGCCAAATGGAAAGAAAAAACAAGCGTGGAAGGGAAGAGTGCATACAGGAAGAAAATGAAAAACAAGTGTAACATCCAGGGAAGTAAGATAAGCAATCACAACACACATACAGGTTACAACCAAGAGAAAGGACGTAACAGAAAAGTGAGCTCTCGGAGATGTACAGTGTGATGGTGGCAAAGATGAAAAATAAGCCCGAGGAACCCTTCCAGGGAGCAGAGCAAGAAGACAAAGGCCGGAAAACAAGGAGGAAAGATACAAACACAACCATTGGTTCAGGCGGCCGACCTAGGCTGTTCCAGGAGGAGGGGCCAGAGGACGTGGAGGTGAGGAAGACCCTCAGGCAAGAGCAGCACTCTGCAGGGACGCCTGACGCAGACCAAGGCCCCAGAGGAGCTGGGCGGTCCGGAGCGAGCCTCCAAGCTTTCTGTCCCGAAAACGTCCACCGCGGTGCTCGGTTTACTGGGTTACCATGAGAGCTCAGATGAGTGTCCACGCTGGCACGCAGAACACCCTCAGTGAACGCCAGCCACCGCCAGCTCCTCTCGCACACACGAGCCACACACAACCTGTGGCCAGATGTGGCTGGCTCTGCCTGCGGGCACCCGCACCCCCAGATGGGTCCTGCACTCAGCCTGCAGAGGGGGGGACAGGCAGGCGACTGGCCGGGGACGCCCAACTTGGAGCTTCTTTTTTAAGTTATTTGAAAAAACATTTTTTTAGGGTTTTCCCAGGCGACACTAGTGGTAAAGAACCTACAAGAGACATAAAAGAGATGGGTGGGGGGGTTTGATCCCTGGGTCCGAAAGATCCCCCAGAAAAGGAAATGGCAACCCACCCCAGTATTCTTGCCTGGGAAATCCCATGGACAGAGGAGCCGGTGAGCTATGGTCCACGGTGTCACCACCAGACGGGACTCTGTGACATGAGCATGCACACAGTGTAGGCTTTACTTGGCTGCGCTGGGTCTTCGCTGCGGCATTTGGGATCTAGCTCCCTGACCTAGGGTTGAACCGGGGCCCCCTGCCTCGGCAGGGGGGAGTCTTAGCCACTGGACACCAGGGAAGTCCTCCGACCGAGAGGTTATTCCCGAACCATCGGGCAGGTCTGCAGGCGGAGTCAGAGCAGCCCCAGGCTCTCAGGCGGTTCTGCTGCCCAGGCCTCCGTGCTCCTTAAAGCAACTGCAGGATGTGCTCACGTGAGCAGGTTGCGCACAGGATCCCGAGGTCAGACGTGACATGCGGGGAAGCAACGGCACCCAGGACAGGACGGGCCCCCCACGGGGCAGACCACCGGCTGACCAGCAGACGGGGTCCTCCCGGAGGAGGGGTGCCCAACGGCTGGAGGGAGCCTGAGGACTCAGCGAAGCGGAGCAGAACCCTGTGGTCCTTTCTCAGGGTCTGCCACCTGCCTTTGCCAAAGGGTGAGTCTGATCAGTGACGCGAGAGGACGCAGAAACAGAGGCGAACAGTCAAGGGAGAGCAAACAGTAGCAGGTCAGGCAGGAAGCAGAGTCAGGGGCCTCGGGCTCCTCCTTCAGGGTCACAGACAGTATGCGGAGCCTCATCCTGGCTGAAACCTTCGCCAGGTGACGTCAGCTGCACCACAACCAGACTGGGGCTGTGACGTAAGCTGCCACGATTCCGAGAAATTGCCTCAAAGGAATGGGAACCAACCAACTCTGGAACTGAAGATCAACTGTACTTAAATCAATCACGATGATATTTCAAAATCCTTACAAATTCTTAAAGTGGATTTTCAATAGATACACAGACTTCTGAACGCTGTTACCTAGGGTCATTTTTCTCTGTTTACCCATCAGCATGTAACACTGACAGATGTTGGAACCGCGGATCCCAGGTGGAAAACAGGCAAGAACTGAAGAGTACTTTGAAATAGTTTTATTGGCTCATAAGACCTTTGCATATAAAAAAAATACCCAAAACACTATGCAGTATTAAACCACAATTACATTTTTTTTTTTTACCAATTTGAAACTACCCAGAATAAACATTTTTTAAAGCAAAAGAAACCTACAGAACTAAACTTTGAAATGACATTATGACTTAAATACTATGACAAAATAGATACCTCCTTATAACGTGAATCCATTGCACGAAGCCGCCAGAACGTTTCATGAGCATAACGTCGCACGGGGCGCAAACGAACACGTCACGTCACACATGTAGCTGCAGCAGCTGTGCCCCCGCCTCAGGGACGCTCCGTCTCTGGCACGAAAGGCGGGCCCGGGACAGCCTCCGCCAGGCCCCCGCCGCGGCAACGCAGGGCCTCCGCTCCCGGCCACGTCGGCCGCCTCCGTCAGCACCGCCGCTGCTTGAAGAAGTCCACGCCCCGCAGCTCCTGGGGCAGGTACTCCTGCTCCACCGGCTCGCTGTAGGCGGGGTTGTACTTGTAGCCCTGGCCGTAGCCCAGGTCCTTCATCAGCCTGGTGGGCGCGTTGCGCAGATGCAGGGGCACGGGGGGCAGCGGCCCCTGGTGGCCCCGCAGGCAGGCCTTGACGTTGCTGTAGGCGCTGTACACCTCCACCGACTTCGGGGCCCGCGCCAGGTACACGACGCACTGGGCCAGGAGGACCTGCGCGGGGTTGGGGGGCGCCGCCCGGGTTAACTCTGGGGGACCCTGCCCCCACCGGGCCAGGAGGACCTGAGCGGGGTCGGGGGGGCGCCGCTCGGGTTAACTCTGGGAGACCCCGCCCCGACCCCGCGCCGTGCTAACGTCCCATGGGGCCCACAGTCTGGGTAACCACAACAGGGAGGAGGCGGTCCTGCACGAGGCGAGGCTAAACCGGACCGGTGCTTTTCTTTTAAAACTGAAACACTTCTCATCATATGAAATTCTTCTTAAAACGCCAACGTATGAAGCTAGGCAGGAGCTGCTCTACCTGTGGGTGAACTTGCAGAGACTCCTGCTCGGCTCCTCTGATGCTCCTGCCCCCAGGAAACCCTGAAAGCCTCCGAGGAGCGCACACGAGCCCCTGCTGACACCGAGGTCGCCCCCTAACCCCGCCCCGCCCCAGCGTCTAAGCTCCCAGACGGGCGTCAGAGAGCCAGGCAGCCTCCTCCGCGTTCCAGGCCCAGGGAGGCGCCATCCGAAGGGGCCTTACCTCGCACTCGGGCATGCCTATGAAGTGACAGCCTTGGTAGGCGGCGACTGCTTGTGTCAACGCGGACGGGTCGGCCAGGCCTGCCACACACACGAACAGGGGCGAGTTAAGTCCCAGTGCCCACCCCTGTGCCGACCCCCACCGCCTGCAGACTTAACCGAGGAAAAGCAAAATCTGATCTTAGCTGACTCCAGAGGTGTGCGTGGGGTGGTCCCTGTGCAGGGTCAAGAACTGTTTCCTTGGAGATAAAAGCTCTATATCTAGTAGGAAAAACAGGAGACCATGTGCAATACACGTAAGGAGCAGAGGCCATGAAGACGGTCACGAGGCTGGATGCGCTGAAAGCGGAGCACTCACTGACCCCAAAGAAAGCTACGGCTCTGTGGTCGTCTCCTTTAAACTGGTCCTGGAATCCTCCCTTGCTATTAATATCTCGGGAGCTGTCTGATGAAAACCAGAACGTCTGACTCCAAAGCAAAATTAAAACACTGCTTTCATTTCAACACGGGCACCTCGGAGAGATCCTGGGCCTGTTCTACACCACTGCAGTAACGCCCAAGCCGCCGTAAGGGGAAAACCGCAACAAAGCAAGCTGCACCAATTTTCTGGTCCCCGGCGTGTACCGAGCTCTTGCCAACAGTACACTGTCAGCAAGGGTCGTGTCTAAGACACTCCACCGCTCAACAGGCCAACCGTCACCCGAGCCTTGAGGGAGTCAACCCTTTTTTAGTAGTGACATCAAAGAGGACTTGTCGCAGACCTCCAGAACAAAGAGCAGAGTGTGAATGCCACAAGAATCACCCAAGGGCGACACGGGGCCACCACGTGAGCAACTGCCGCTGGGAGAACGGCGCTGACAGGGCCGTGACACGGGGTCCCAGGGACCCCACGGCTACAGAGGCCTGAGCTGTTAAGGCGGCCCGCACCCCCGCGGGGTCACTACCGAGGAACGCAGGGACCCGTGACTCGGAGCCAGACGGCCCGCCCAGGGATCACCGGGGGCCCGCCCCGCCCGAGGCCCAGCCCAGGACACTCCCGGCGCCCCGCCCCGCCAGAGGCCCCGCCCAGGACACTCCCGGCGCCCCGCCCCGCCCGAGGCCCCGCCCAGGACACTCCCGGCGCCCCGCCCCGCCCGAGGCCCCGCCCAGGACACTCCCGGCGCCCCGCCCCGCCCGAGGCCCCGCCCAGGACACTCCCGGCGCCCCGCCCCGCCCGAGGCCCCGCCCAGGACACTCCCGGCGCCCCGCCCCGCCCGAGGCCCCGCCCAGGACACTCCCGGCGCCCCGCCCCGCCCGAGGCCCCGCCCAGGACACTCCCGGCGCCCCGCCCCGCCCGAGGCCCCGCCCAGGACACTCCCGGCGCCCCGCCCCGCCCGAGGCCCCGCCCAGGACACTCCCGGCGCCCCGCCCCGCCCGAGGCCCCGCCCAGGACACTCCCGGCGCCCCGCCCCGCCCGAGGCCCCGCCCAGGACACTCCCGGCGCCCCGCCCCGCCCGAGGCCCNGGGGGGTCACTCACCTGCCCGGTCATACAGGATGTGTGAGCGCTGCAGGCCCTCCTTCACGTCGCTCTCTGTGACCAGCACGCGGCTCGGGGGGTAGCTCTGCCCGCCCTTCTTCCCCAAGGTCTTCCGGGCGCTCAGCCGGGCCAGCACCGCCAGCTGTAGCCCGTTCAGCCCGGCCCGCGCGTCCCCATCACTCAGGTGGGCCAGTGTGTCCACTGCCTTGTCCTCGATGAACACCGAGGGCCTGCAACACCACCACCGTGTCACACCCTGGACATCCCCTCCTGCAGCACGCTTTGCCTCTCATCCCCACAAGGTCACTACCGAGGCCCCCTGAGGCTCAAGCTTCCGCCCGGGCCCCAAACCCTGGTATTGGGGCGGGTCTGTGCTGTTACATGGCCAGCATTGGCAAGGCTGAGCAAAGCCTCGCCCTTAAGTCCCAAGGTTATTTCACCTGACATTTGGTCCTTTTTCACCCGACATTCAGCCCTTTGCATCTCCAGGTTCCACATGCACGAATTCAACCGGCCTCAGACATAACGTATTAGGGGAAAAATTCCAGATAGTTCTAAAAAGCACAGCTTGAGTCTGCTGCACACTGACCACCACTCACAAAGCATTAGAGCATGTCCAACAACTACACGTGATTTACATCGTGTTAGGTGTGATGAGTCGCCTAGAGACAACGTCGCGTGCATGGATGTGCTCTGGGTCCTATGCAAACATCAGGCTGTGAGAGAAGGGGTCTGCGCGTCCTCGGATTCTGGTGTCCACGGGGTGGGAGGGCTCTGGATCCAATGCCCTGCAGACCCCGAGGGACAACTCTATAGGCATGCGTCCTTCCCTTCACAGACAAGCCTGTCCCCAGTCCCTCGGCACTAGCCTGGGGCACACGGCCACAGGGGCACTGACCACGCGTGGGCCTTTGTCAAGAAGGTCTAACTGTGACTCCTTTTCGAGTCTAACTGAGCAACTTTTCCTATTCTGTCTAGTTAGACAAGGTATCCAAAACTTAGCTATATAGAGGGGTCTTATTCTTTGTGGCTAGCTATATATACATACAAAGCAAAATACAATGATTCCAAGTTACAGCTCAGCCATGTCCCTGCCAACCTTTGGCTGGAAATGTCACAGCAATTAATAAATCGACGCGGATCATCTGAGGCAGCTATTTGGAGAACAACCCCAAAGGCCCCACTGGCCTGGGCAGGGAGTGCTCACCGAGGGTGCCTGCCTAGCTGGGGAGACAGCCTTGAGGATCCCAGGCTGCGCTCGCCCCCGAAGGCCGGTCTCTGGCATCTCATGGATGCCGTGTCTCCAGAGCCAGGCCTCCCAGCTGCCTCTCCGCCCCCAGGAGTCAGCTCACAGCAGACGGCTCTCCCATCGGCCCATCCGCCCCTCCTGACCAGACATAACACACACCGAGACCACAGCACTGGCTCTTTGTAAAGCTGACAGCCACTTCCAAAGGGAATTCTTGATGATACGGAAAAACACTAGACGACCTGCACGAAAGATAAAAGATGCTGCGGGGGGCCAGATGCAGAGGAGGTGTGGTAGCTCGGGGGAGCCGCGGGGGAGGGCAGCCTTGCTGACGGCACATCTGCGTGTCTCTGTGCGTATGTGTGTATATGCGTGTGTCTGTGTGATGTACATGTGTCTGTATAAGTGTGTATATGTGTGTCAGTGTGTTTAACTGTGTGTGTGTTTATGCGCCTAACTGCGTATGTCTAAGTGTCTGAGTGTATAAGCGTGTGTATATGTGTAAGTGTGCATGTATATGTGTCGGTGTGTTGATATGCCTAACTGTCTGCAAGTGTGTATATGTGTGTCTGTACAGGTGTGTATTTGTGTCTCTATGTATGTGTGTGATGTATGTATATGTGTGTGTAAGTGCATGTGTGTCTGTGTGTATAAGCATGTATGTATGTGTACAAGTGTGCACGTATATGCGCACATCTGTGTGTGTGTGATGTGTCTGCACAAGTGTGTGTGTGTCTGTGTGTAACTGTGTCTGCACAAGTGTGTGTATATGTGCTTGTCTGTGTGTGTGTGGGGGGCGGGCAGACCCACACGGCCTCAAAGGCTCGCCCCAGGACTAGTGACCCTGACGGCCTTCCTCCTGGGAGCCACCGGCAGCAGAGCGCCTGCAGGACCGCGAGTCGGGGGAGCGGGGGGCTGGAGGCCTGAGCCAGTGCCGCGGGGCTGCCCTCCGGAGGCGATCGTCTCCAGCCCCGACGCTGGGGCCGCAGGGCCTGGCGGGCGGGCCCCACTTCTGCACACGGAGTGGACTGACTTCAGCTTCCCTGCAGCCTCAGGAGGGGACGTGTTAAAAACTGAGACAGACAGGAAGCACACAAGAGAACACGCCACAAACCCTTATCCGCAGCACCCAGAGCGCTTGCTGAGCCCGCTCTGTGAACCGCCCACCCACCAACCACTCACCTCACTGAGCTGGGGGCGGGCCTGGGGCAGGCAGAACGTTCACAACACCTGGTACGTGTCTATCCTGTGACCATCCACTCAAGCTTTGAAAACAAAACTGGGTCACATCATACAGAGTCTGCAACCTTCATAATAAAACGCTATTTTGAAAAGCAAGCCAGGTACTCAGAACTCTCAGTATTATCTTTTTACCAAACAGGCATCTCGGAAACTGTCAGCACCAGACAAAGGGGTGGATCGCTGCGCTGTGCCACCATCGGGTCAGCGCCGGGGGCGCAGACCGCCCTTGTGGCTGCACCGGGCACCCCCGGGGCAGGAAGTGGGCAGAGGACAGGCGTACAGGCGGTCTCAGAGCCCAGTCCTCATGGACGGGCAGTGAGTGGGCCTCGTTCGTGACGACAGAGGCCAATGAGTAGGCTGCGAGAAAGCCTTTAGAGACGGAGGTGAGTTTTCCACAGCTGGAAAATGCAATCCTTCCCTCAGTGTTTGAAGTCCGCTCTGTTCCACTGTCATCCCTTCCATCACGTTGGAGTCACGAGCATGGGGCGAGTCCACCTGGTCTCCCACGGCTCCTCATTCCCTCTTTCACACGAGCCACATTCCAGGATTGCCCCCGTCCAAACACAGTCTTTCTAAACACAGATGTGTTGCAGTAATAAAAAGGCCTGCTCGGGACGGTCACGAGGCAAGTCTCCGAACGGGAACTGACTGCCAAGAACGACGCTGCAGAGCTTCCAGGCCGTAGCCAGTTCCTCCCAACCCCACTGAAGCCACGCGGGGCCTCAAGAGGAGGAAATACCCTGAGACCCTCGAGGCCTCAGGCGAGGGCGAGGAGGGGCGCTCAGGTCCAGAAGAGACCTGAGGTGTTCAGGGACCTCAGCAACCAGCACCCAAGGCAGAGTGCGCTCCGAGCGCTTTCACGACCGACGCCCGCGGGGCCCTCTCGGCCCCTCAGCTCCTGCGTGGGTGTCTCGACCCTCAAGCCATGCGACCTGGCCGAAGGGGGTCCCTGCCCAGGCTTCCCAGCGCCCTAGGTAATTCCTCCTGCATCTGGGGCAGGAGCAGGCGGCAGAGGCGTGCTTCTAACACAAATACGGGAAGAGCCCTGCCCCACATAAGGCAATTGATGGCCCACGATACACACGCCGCGTGTGAGCAGACTCACGCGCCTCTCACAACACAGAGACATCACCCGGAGGAAACGGACAGCCCTGAAGGCATCATTTTCAGTTACAATTTCTTTCCTGTCGTGGAATTGAGTCTCTGACTTCCAGAGTGCACAACAATCACCCTAAAAACACTTGAAAAAGTTTACAGTAACGTTTACACTAATTCTTAGTCAATGTTTTACAGAAAAAAAAAAAACTGCAGAAAAAAGAAAATTGGAATCTGAGTATAAACTTCGAAAGATTCATGACATAAGTTTCTCCTATGAATAAAATAATCAAAAAAGCCTCTCTAGGTTTTGCGAGCCTTAATAAAAAGGTGTGCAAGGAAAAGCCCGGAATCTGCTGGCACCAAGGCAAATACCCGAGAGCTAGAGCCGGGGCCACCCACGACGGGGGGTCTCTCCACCTGCAGAGGCAGGGCAGCCCTCTGCAGACCAGCACCACATGCACCTGTCCATCCCGGAAGGACACCCTCCTCCATCCTGCCCTCCAGCCCAGCCAAGCGCCCCCCACCCCACCCCAACCCAGAGCTGCTTACTCGGAGCTGCTGCCGCCGCCGCCGTGGCTCAGAGGGTCGGCAGGGCGGCTGGAGCCCAGCACCTGGATGCCCAGGGAGCTGACGGCCCGCATTAGGATGGCCACCACGGCCTCCACGGGGAGCTTCTCGAGCATGATGACTCGGCAGCGGCTCAGGAGAGCAGCATTGACCTGGAAGGAGGGGTTCTCCGTGGTCGCCCCGATCAGGGTGATGGTCCCACACTCCACATGCGGAAGGAACGTGTCCTGATCAGGGAAGGAGAACAGAAGACGCTGACCCCAGTCGACAGCCTGCAGGATCCAGGGTGAGCCGGCTATCACTTCTTTTCCTAATCCCAAGTTCAGGATCAAATCAGCAACTTAAGCTGTCCACTCAGTTCTGATGTTTCAATTACAAATGCCTGAAACTTGGAAACTTGACCCAAAGTACTTTTTCTCATACCTACAATTTCATTTATCAGACAGAGGAAGCATTTTCTGGCCACCAAAAAAATGCTAAGAAAAAGTGAGGGTAACAGGCGTGAAGGAGAAGGGTGGAGGGCCTGGGCTCTTGGACAATCACCATCACCCCCACCCTGAGCCTGTGTGCAGTGACCGCACAGGCTTCACACTCAAGTCCCCATTCGCAAGGACCAGAAGGAAGCAGAAGGAAGAGCACATACCTGCTGAGACTTATTGAACCGATGAATCTCATCAATAAAAAGGATGGTCTTCCTCTTGAAAAACCTCTTCTCATTCTGAGCTTGTTTGATGACGTCCCGCACGTCGGTTGTCTTGGCGCTGGTTGCTGACAACGTCACAAACCTGATGCTATGCTTCTTGCTGTTGTTGGCTATGATGTGGGCCAACGTGGTCTGTGAAAAGACGGAGGGCGGGAACTGTGAGACAGAGGGACGGGCACCAGGACCTTCTAGAGGCCTGGACACTGGTGCGCTCGGCAGCGGAGAACCACCTGAAACAGCGCAGTGCGTCTTCACACACTAAAAAACGCTACACATGAAGCAGGAAAAGCAGCTGAAAGTTCAGCTAATTCTGACCTCCTCTCCTTCATGTCTAACTCCACTGATGCCTTTCAGGGGACACTAAGATCTCCAGAATCTCTGGAAAGAGCTGCTGAATGGACGCAGCTGGTGGTAGATGCAACCTTACCCAGCCAAGAGCAGCAACACCGACCAGCGAGGCGCAGACCCACGGGCCGGGGGTACCACAGCCCGAAGCTGGCAGGCAGCGCAAAAGAGAGCCAGCAGTTGAGCTGGGAGATCAACGGTGACCTTAAACCAGCACATGCAGCCGTCCGCTGTGGATGGAGTGAGGCAGCAGCAACGCCTCCATCAGTGCTTCCCAGGAAGCAAAGAATTCCAAAGAAAAGTGCTGCTCGGCAGCTGGTGCTTACTGGGGGCTGCATACACATGCACACACTCTCATTAAGTTTATTATTACTGTCGGCATCGAAGTGCAACATTAAGGATGGGGGTGAAGAGGGGCAAATACGCTCCGGAATGAGTGGCAAGGGGTCATTTTATTTTCTGAAGGTCACATGGCCCCATCAGACACTGCTGCTGCTCCTCAGCCAGACCCAGCCCAGAGGCCACACCTGCCTGGCTTGTGACCCGTCAGCCACCTCTGCACTGATCAGCCTAGTGCACTGCCTTTCCGGCCGAGCATCCTCTGTGAGTGCGCCCTGCTCACTGGCCCAAGGACGTTCTTCTCTGCCTCTTCCATCTGATTAACCGTTTTGACCATCTTAAGCAAAGAGTTCTCGGGAATCAGTAAGGATGCTACTGCATAGTACCGTGCTATCTAGGTTAAATCTGACAGTTCCTGACCAAAGGAAAGCACAAGACAAGCAAGACACCTAAACAGAGGATAAAGCTGGAAAGAAGAACCAAAGAAACACCATCGAAGTGTCTGAGCCTCACAGCTCTGAGCTCCTCTACACCCAATCCTGGGCTCCGCTTTCCACTCTGTGGTGCTTTCTCCCTTTTCCAGCAGATAAAATGTATACATTTAAGCACCGCTTGGTTCTCTCTTTTTTTCAGTCTTAACACCTGCCTCCTTAAGACTGCTGCTCAAGTGTTCTTCCAATGATCTGTTCTCTAGATTCCAGCATCCTAAGTGCCCACCTCTGGGCTTGTGCTAATTCCTGAGAAAGCGCTGGACACCAAGACGCACCAAGACTTGTCTCTATAAAGGACAAGGCACCGTAAGAAACTATGGAAAACAGTGGATGAAAGCGACTTGCAAAGGGAAGGAGTTCTCAGTTTAACTGTACTGTTAAATAAGTACAGTTTCGAGGTTTGATAAAGAACTGTTTGCAAGAACAAAACGAATGAACAAGAAACCCAACAGCTAAACAGAAGGAAGCACAACAGAAATTTAAAATTTTTTGCATTCCGGCCCCCGCCCCAAACTGAATGGACACACTCCCGAATGGGAAACTGCTCCAGGCCACCTGTCTTTTCCCCCGAGAATCGGGCTACTAACAGCCGGGGGTGCGGGCGGGGCGGGACGCCTCGGGGGCCCTAATCGGACCCCCGCCCCCATCTCCCCTCGCAGAGGGCCGGGACGGTGCGCTGACCTTGCCGCAGCCCGGTGGCCCCCACAGGATGAGCGAGGGCACCTCACTGGCCTCGAGCAGCGAGCGCAGCAGCGTCTCGGGGCCCACGGCGCGGCCCTGCCCCACGAAGTCCTGCAGCGCGTCGGGGCGCATGGTGTCGGCCAGCGGCTTCCCCTCCAGCAGCTGCCGCACCTCCTCAGCCGCCGGCGCGCGCGGGCGGCNGGCGCGCCGGAAAGCGGAGTCCGCGGTAGCCCGCACGGCCGCCGCCGGCGCCGGCTCGCACGGCCCGACGGGAAACGTAGTCCGCGGCCGCTCGGCGGCTGAGGCGCGCCTTTCTCGGCCGGCGCCGGCGCCTCGCACGTCCTGCCGGGAAACGTAGTTCGCGGAGGCTCGGCGGGTGGCCGCGAGTCCCTTTCCGGTCGGCGCCGGGGGAAGCTGGCAGGCTGCGCATGCGCAAACCCACCCGCGGGCGGGACGCCAGAGCGATGGGACAGGCGCCGCCGCTGCGCAAGGGGCGTGGCTTTGCGTGCGGTAGGGGGCGGTAGGGGCGGAGGGCGGAGTCAGAGGGCGGGGAAGTGAGGGAAACGGTGGACGCGGCTGGAATGCTGGTCTGGGACGGGTCCCACACAGTCCGAAGGGTCACGCACAGCGGCGGCCGGAGACACACGTCTAGCACCGTTCTCCCCAGACTGTTGGCCTTTTACCCCAATCGAGTGGTGTCTCACGGCCGCTTCGTAGTTAAACGTTAGGAATGCGCGGGCATCTTCTGGCGCCGGCGGGCGAGCGACGTCGGGTTAGGACCCGCTAATCTCTGTCTGGCCTGTGGGCGAAGGGATGGCCTTCTCTGAGCCCCGTTCCTGCTCTTCTGAAACTAATTAAAAAACGTGTCACAAACCTGACTTTTTGGTGTTTAGAGAAAGGAAACAGAGATGGGATGAAAACAAATGAAACATTTTTAGGGAAGAATTGACTTTCCTAAAAGCTGACAAGACTGGAATTTCTAATTCATCTGCATAAGAACTGCTTCAAACTTAACCGAAAGGCAACCACCTAAGGCATGTCTGAGCCTCTTCTTGTGAGATGATTTTACAAAAAGGAATGGATCACAGAGAACTTGTTCTCTCGCCCAGTCGTGTCCAGTAAGTCAGTTCTTTGCATCAGGTGGGCAACGCATCGAAGCTTCATCATCAGTCCTTCCAATGAATAATCAGGACAGATTTCCTTTTAGATCGATTAGTTGGATCTCCTTGCAGTCCACGGGACTCTCAGGAGTCTTCTCCAGCACCACAGGTAACTAGCAGTATATAAAAGGATAAAAATGAACAGCAAAGGAAATATTTTTTCAGTCGATGCTGGATTTAAAGTATGTGTTGCAACCTCCCTGCAATTGTAAAGAGGACTGAAACCCGATTTTCTGATTAGAAGAGGTAAGCAAAAAAGTTGAGAAAGAATCTTTACCCTTTGGCCATCAGGCAGTTTGAATTGTAGGATCACGAACTTTTATATAACCTTTTAATTATTGCCCAGAGCAAACAGCCCCTGAACTTCACAAAAGCAGGTAGTTTGAGAAGAGGTTATCAGAGCCTAGAGAGACATTTCCTCATTCTGCCTTAAGTTTTATTAGCTTATTAGCTTTATTAACCAACAGAAGGCCGATTAAAAAGAGAAAAACAGGACTGTGAACGTGTGCAGGTCTCATACACACGGAGTACCTAGTGATGAACTGGGGCTTGGATGGCAACTTAGCAGAAAACACAACAGGTTTAAAGGGAAGTGACAGGACAAAGGAAAAGGACCTTACGTTTTTAGGGAGGCAAACTGGGTTAAGGCAAATATATGGGAAACTAATGGGAGACAAACTTAGTGTATTAAAAAGCAGAGACATCACTTTGCCGCCAAAGGTCCATCTAGTCAAAGCTATGGTTTTTCCAGTAGTCATATATGATTGTGAAAATTGGACTATAAAGAAGGCTGAGTGCTGGAGAATCAATCCTTTCATCTGTGGTGTTGGAGAAGACTCTTGAGAGTCCCTTGGACTGCAGGGAGATCAAACCAGTCAATCCTAAAGTTAATCAACCCTGAATATTAATTGGAAGGACTGATGCTGAAACTTAGCTCCAGTACTTTGGCCACCTGATAGAGCCAACTCATTGGAAAAGACTCCGATGCTGGGAAGGCTTGAGGGCAGGAAGAGAAGAGGGCAATAGAGAATGAGATGGTTGAATGGCATCACTGACTTAATGGACGTGAGTCTGAGCAAACTCCGGGGGATAGTGAAGGACAGGGAAGCCCAGCGTACTGCCGTCATGGGGTCGTAGAGAGTCAGAGACGACTGAGCGACTGAACAACAACAAATGAGAGACAAGAACTAGTTAAGTATATTACGTAGCTTTCTCCGGTGCCGCCTCTAGGCTGATGAGGGTCTAGGGTTCCCTCCAGCCATTAACTTCTGCTCTTCCTCGTAGATGGGATGGGGGACACCTTTGCAAATTTATGTCCTGTTCCTAGGAAGTAAGGGGAAAGCAGAGAGCTTTTCTTGTATCTGCTTAATTGCCTTCAGCTCAGTATAATCTGTGGACTTCCTAGGTGGCCTAGTGGTAAAAAATATGCTGGACGATACAAGAGAACTCGGGTTCAATCATTGGGTCAAGAAGATCCCTTGGAGAAGGAAACGGCAACTGTCTCCAGTGTTCTTGCCTAGGAAATCCCATGGACAGAGGAACCTGGTGGGCTGCAGTCCGTGGGGTCGCAAAGAGTCAGACACGACTGAGCGACTAAACAGTGACAGTACAATGCTTAGGCCAAAGGGACACAGTTTGGTGTGGCATGTTCCGCTACTGGTCAGGTTCTAGAGTTGTCCTCAAAATGAGTTTTGAATGAAAGTATTTCTAAATATGGAAACAGTACACTACAATAATTTTAAACATTTGTAGAAATAAATGGACATGTGGTCACCTTTAACACAAAATATTTTGAAATAGTAACAACAAACCAGGCAACATCTGTGAAGCTTCTTAAATCTTTTAATAAATGTAAAGCTTAAAACTTAATTTTTTTAAAACTAAGACACACTTATTGTGAAAAATCTACTCAGATTCTCACTTAATATTTCAACACCCTCTTCCAGTCTTTTAAAATGCATTTTAAGACTCTGCTGTGTATGTACATATAAATGTAATTCTGTATCTGCCTTTATTGTTACCTAATATATGTTTTCAAAAGTTTTTACTGTAATGGGAAAACATTTATTGTGTAATACTGTGTAAAAGTTAGAAGGTACGAAGCTATATAGTGTAGTCCTGTCTTATTTTTATACAAGTGCTTTGTTCGTATATATATATATATATATATATATTTAAAAGAAAAGAATCAGAAAAAGGAAAAAGAAGACAAAATCCTCCATATCTCCATGTGTACACGTACTTTACTCCTGTGGTCTCATCCGTGAATAAAATCGAGCCATTTGGATGGAATGCGAGGTGAAAATGTGCCGACTTGCCCTCGAATCTGGGCTTGAGTGGGCCGTGGTGTGACCTTGGGCAAGCTGCTGCCCTTTGCAGGCTCAGCTTCCAAACCTGAGGGGGTTCCGGCAATGCCTCCCAGCCTGTTGGGAGCAGTCAGCCATCCTAAGAACGTAAGGGGGTCAGGACCTTGCCGGTCACCCTCTAAGCCCTCTATGACTGTTTTCCTGAACCCCAGCTCGTTCTGTCTGAAGTTCAAAGTTTTCTCCACTAGATGGTGATACTAGAAAAATAAAATGAATAAACCGTAGGAGCTTCCCTATCTAGATTTAAACTTTCTGTTTTAATCAACATAAAAACAAATAAGTTTAAACCGTGTTATAAGACTGTAGTGAATGAGATCAACGTAAAGCAATAAACCTTCGGCTTAAACTTCCTCCTTGAGTCCCTGCCCGCTGTCTTGTTTTTAGCCGGCCTTGGCGTTCTCTCTCTCTGTCCTCCGGCCTCAGGATCACGGTGGGGGTGACGGGCGTGTGCGTGGCTCTGCTCAGATTGGCCATCTGTTCAGTGGCCACAAGGAAAGTCTCAGTGTGGCTGGGGGTCCCGAGTGCTGCCGGGCAATAAGCCGCCAGTGTTGTCGAGCCTCGGGCATCATCTTGCCCCTCACATTCACACCAAGGCATGTTGGATGTTCTGAGTTCAGTTAACCCCACTGGGACGCACGTGCCCACCGTCTTTAGTCTGCATCCTAAAAGTCAGCCCCAGGGTCGTCCCTTCTCCTTCCTGCCACAGGGGTCCTCTCCCCTGACTTAGCCTCACCCGCCTTGTCCTGACTTTCCCCTGTGTCACCTGCACTCCGCACCACATTTCTCTTTAAGTTTATTCCAATAAATTATATACTTCTTGCTGCTGCACTGAGACCATTGAACTGTTTTATTTTATTACTGGTCTTACTGGTATAAAAGAAGGGCCTTGACTTTTATTAATTTATTTCATATTTGACTTTTATTAGTTTCAAGTGATTTTCAGTTGATACTTGTGATGTAAAAAGAATATATCTGAACTTTGAAATCAGTTTCTGGCACCAAGCTTCAGAAATCCTTGGAATTTCCTGAGTGACAGGAGAGCCAATGAGGTGACTCCTGGCGGGTCCCGGGAGGACTTCAGGACGGGGCTGGTCACCAGAAAGGCCAGCCACACAATTCGAGGTTGGAACTGCGGGCCGGCCATCTCTGGGGAAGGAGGGGCCCTGCATTTGTAGCCGTGGGACTGCTGGCCCCTGAGCCTGGAGTCTGAAATGGGTCATCCTTGTGGGGGCACTCTGCCCTGACCCATAGGTTCTGATAAAAGCACTGGTGTCAAGAGAATTGACTTGCAGGATGATGCCTACTCGGTGTCAGAACAATACTGTCCCTCTTGATTTCCAAAGCATTTATTCTTTTTCTGAATTGAACTGGTCAGTACTAGTTATTATTACATTGTTGGAGAGAGCAGATCAGTTTACCCTATAAAGTGAAAGGTGAATTGACGGAGGCAAAAGTCCTACTTCAATCCCTGATTTTTTAAAACTTCCAGTCAAGTAGAGACTAGCTGTGTCTTGGTTACTGCCTACTCTTCAGCTTAGCGGAGTCCTATGCAACGTCCTTGAGTCTCCAGGCTGGTCTGACGCCTTGTCTGCCCCTTACAGCAGACGCCCGCTAGTGCTGAACTGGCCGCTGCGTGTCTGTTTCCACTCCTGCCTTCCACTTCCAAGGTGCAGGACTGCGCAGGCCCCGAGGCCGGCCTGTGGGGCGCCGGGCGTGTTTGAATGGGACAGTGAGTGAAAGCCACCAGGTCAAGGGCAGGCTTGACCCTCTGCCCCAGGGTTCACATCAGGAGTTGTTTCTTCCAGAAAGACCACCCGAACGGGGCTTTTGGTCATGGAAAGATTAGAGGAATACTTTCAGAGAACCCTTCCATGAAGAAAAAGGGCAGTGTTTTGGAGGTGGGAATAAGATGGTCTCCTAGGAGCAGTGGAGAGCTGCAGCTGGGAAGAAAGACTGGCTTGTTCTGGGGAGAGCTGGGTTTTTAACTGAAGGGAGAATAGAATGTGGAGGGTGAGCCATGATGTCTGTTTCCTTCTTGTCTCTCGAACTGAATTTGAAACCCTACAGGACGAAGATCAGGATGGTTCAGGAGACGCTGGGCGTTCTGGCCACGAACCTGGGTCTGGAGGACCAGCTGTACTGCGGTGGAAGGAGGCCACCTCCCCCCGCTCTGCCCTGGCCCGGGGAATGGGCAGCTCCCCACTCAGACCCTGGTACTCCCACCGTGGCCCCATCAGCAGTGCCAGTGCCCAGGTTTCTTCCCGGAGGGTCTTGACAGTGGCCTTCACCCAGCGGGGCGGCAGGGCCCTGCAGACTACGTGAGGGCTGCGGTCCACGGAGCCGCTGGCAGCACATTTCAGCGACCCTTTGAGGAATTTCCAGGAATATTAATAAGTAGGGGGTTCACAGGGAGCTGCTAAGTGACTGGTTGGTAAAATGAGGCAATGTAAAGGAGGCTCTCAGAGACGTTGTTAAGAAGGCATTAAAATTAATGTGAAGTTCAACAAATGACCCATCAAAAGTGAGTAAATGACGGAGAAAAAGTGAAACTTGGCTTCTGCTTACACCACAGGCAAAAATTAATTCAAGATGGACCACAGGCCCATATGTAAGAGCTAAAAGTCTGAAGCTTCTACAGGGAGACATGGGAGAATATCCTCATGGCTTTGGGGTACATGAAAGTTTGTTAGCGATGGTGTAAACAGCGTTGCTCATTAAAAAATATATATGAGTATATATATAAGTATATATGGAACTTAATTAAATTTTAAAACATCTGCTCTTCAAAAGACATCTGTGGGAAAATGAAACCATAAGCCATAGCCTGAGAGAAAATATTTGTAATACATATATCTGCACTGGACTTATTTCGAGAGTATATAAAGAGAATTATTGTAACGCAACAATAAGACAAAATACCCCTGTTTTTAAGTGCACGAAAGGTATAAAAGAATGCTTCACAATAGAAGGCACATAGAAAAGCACAGGAAGCATGCACTTTAAAGCTACAGTGAAATGCCACTGCAGTCCATCTCCCGTGCTAAGTTGCTTCAGTCGCGTCTGATTCTGTGTGACCCCATGGACTGTGGCTCACCAGCCTCCTCTGTCCATGGGATTCTCCAGGCAAGAACACTGGAGTGGATTGCCATGCTCTCCTCCAGGGGATCTTCCTGGCCCAGGGATCAAACCACACTCCCTCTAGAAGGCCTGAAAACTAAAATGATTGACCACATTACATACTGTTAAAAGGGCAAACACACCCTTGCCCCATAATCCAGTAATTCTGTTCCCGGAGGATCTACCCAGGAGAGATAGAAACATGCTCACCACAACTAGGGAGCAGCCCCTGCTTGCTGTAACTAGGGAGAGCCCTCGTGCAGAAAGGAAGACCCAGTGCAACCAAAAAAAAAAAGAATCTCATCAGCCTGTACCTTTAAAATGGGTGCAGGTTGTTTATGCAGTTTATATGAGGTTGATTAAACCCCCCAAGATCCTGTTTCCTGCCCGTGAGAATGACTGCAGCTCACAGAGCCGTCAGCACCACACGCTGGCAGGGATGCAGAGCAGCCGCAACGCCCACACGCTGCTGGCGCATCGCCGCTGGAAGCCCAGAATGGGCTCTTAGAAAAGCTTGCCGATTTCTTACAAAACTGAACGCGCATCTGCTCTATGACCCATCAGTTGTACTCTTATGTATTTACTCCAAGGAAATGAAAACATATGTATAAAATGTCTTGTAGAAGTGTGTTTATAGAAGCTTTATTTGCGATAGCAAAACAAACAAAGACCTGGATACACTGTAAATATGCAGGTGATGGATGGACAGGTCGTGGTCCTTCATACTGTGAAATGCTACAGTGGACCAGAAAAGGAGGAACTGCAAACCACACGGGATTCCCATAAATTCCATGCGGAGGGAATGAAACCAGCGCAGAGAGCACAGGCAGTGAGTCCCTTGCAAGTTCAAGAGCAGACAAGCCTAGGGAATCTGAGTCTTAGAAATCAGTGTCATTTAGACAGGAATTGACTGAAAGGGGGCATAACAGGAATGTTACGTGTACGGTTGGGATGTGGTCTAATTAAGAACTAAGCACTGTTAGCAAATTTCCCCTCAATTAAAAAATTCAAGGGGTTTCCGTTTCCAATAATGGCAGCTGGGAAATTCAGATAGATCAATACACATAACTGCTAAAAACAAGTAATAATGCTGAGTAAAATCGTTTAGAAATCTTCCTGAAAGTATCAGAGACCTGGTAAACAGGAGCTTGTTGTTTTAGTTGCTAAGTCATGTTGGACTCTTTGCAACCCCATGGACTGTAGCCCACCAGGCTCCTCTGTCCGTGGGATTCTCCAGGCAAGAATGCTGGAGTGGGCTGCCATTTCCTCCCCCAGGGGATCTTCCCGACCCAGGGATGGAACCCACATCTCCTGCATTGGCAGGTGGGTTCTTTACCACTGAGCCAGCAGGGAAGCATGATCTGGGAACAGTCTGAGGGAAATGCAAATCCAAACAGAGCCAAAGAACCTGAGCACAAGAGGTCCTTCTGCCCCGAGTGCTTTTACCAATTCTGCCAATTCTGAGAGCGTCCGTCACGGGCCCAGGGTCTACCCGAGCTGAGGGTTCACCCTCCAGCAGAGGGGCCTAAGAGACCTCCCTCCCCCTGCATGGAGCTGGCACCCAGAGGGCAGTACTCCCTGGTGATGATGAACAGGATGCAAATCCACCCCCACAACCACTGCCTCTCACTATTACACTCATTTTTTTTTCTTCTGGCATTGTTAAATGTTCTTCTACGTGTGACTTAATAGAAATATAATGTTCTTTCTTATGGAAGGACTACAACTATTCAACCAGCTTGTACTTATGTTCTATCTCAATGTTTTAAATATAATAAATAATGTCATCATCGATAACTTCAAAGATATTATTTTGCAATTCTATTTCCTTTGGGGCGAAAGTCTTAAGAATACAATAGGGTCACAGGGCATGGCAGAACTGGCTTCGCCAAAGAGGAGAGCAATTTCCATTCCAACCAGAAGTGTCGGAGTGTGCTGTGCTGTGCCCTCCCAGGCCTCATGTACATTCGAAATGTTTCCCGGATGACAGCTGGGACTTGTAATGCCCTTTTACCATTTTACCAGCTGCCACGGTCCTTTTGCACCAAGAAATGTCAATACTTTTGAATATATGGGATAAAAGCTAAAAACCTATGAACCATTACATAGTAGGCAGATTTATTTTCTACCTAAAGATACACTCTTTACCCTTGATAAGAAATAAGACCCCCCTGAGAATATGGGGCGTTTTCACCCAGCCCCCCTTCAGCCCCCATTACCCTCTCTGCCGCAGTGTTTTCCCGTGGAAAATTTCTCTCCTCAACCTTACCCTCTTGGGAAAAGCAGGCCAACATTTGGTCAGAAGAACATGGCTTGGGCTTTGCACTTCTGTAATTTCATGCCTCGTTCCTGTCATAAGCTCCTTCTAGCTCTTAAAATTCACTTCTAATTTAGAAGGTAGAAAAGCATCCTCAAGAATGGAAACATAAATATACCCTTCCTCAAATTCCAGCTGGAAAAAATGATGATTCATGCTGTAGAACGGAATCTCTCACACTGGGGCCTGAATACTCTCACTTTTCCCAGTTGCTTAGAACAGTCTCAGCAGAAGCGTAAATGTTACCTCACAGCAGGTGTTGTATTTTGTTCTTTCATTCTTAGGCTTAAAGAATTAACGGAAGGGAGATGTGTTTGTGGAATGGGGGACGAGAGGCAGAGAGACTCCTGTGGCGTTGGGTTGGAATTAGAGAACTCTAAGGATGAACTCACAGTTTGAGAACATTTTACTTCCAGCTCCATCCACTGAAAAGGACTGGACAGCCCAGTAACAGAGAGCTCTTGTTGCCTTGGCCTTGGTCTTGCCTTCTAAATGCCATTCTTCCCTGAAAGGAACGGGCTTCTCTGAGAAACGGTAGATTCTAGAAGAGCAGGAGAGGTACATGGCAAGCTCAGCGCCTCTTTATGCCAGAAAGTCAGGATGTGCCCCCAAAACAGTAGGGGCATGTCAGAAGTGTTTTGACCAAATCCGGGACAATCTGAGCATCAGAGTGAATAGCACAGTTCAGTTCAGTTCAGTTCAGTCGCTCAGTGGTGTCCGACTCTTTGCGACCCCATGAATTGCAGCACGCCAGGCCTCCCTGTCCTTCACAAACTCCCAGAGTTTACTCAGACTCATGCCGATCGAGTCGGTGATGCTATCCAACCATCTCATCCTCTGTCGTCCCCTTCTCCTGCTGCCCCCAATCCTTCCCAGCATCAGGGTCTTTTCCAACGAGTCAACTCTTGGTGGCCAAAGTATTGGAGTTTCAGCCTCGGCATCAGTCCTTCCAATGAACACCCAGGACTGGTCTGCTTTAGGATGGACTGGTTGGATCTCCTTGCAGTCCAAGGGAATCTCAAGAGTCTTCTCCAACACTACAGTTCAAAAGCATCAATTTTTCAGCACTCAGCTTTCTTCACAGTCCAACTCTCACATCCATACATGACCACTGGAAANTACTGAAAGGGAGGGTATCAGGATGGGGATGGAAAACTTCTTAATAGAAGAATATCAGTTAACAAGTGTAGAAAATGATAGGATTGGGAAGTCACTTATCAGTCACTGTGATGATAGCAGATTCACGCAAGAGTGGGCACTTAAGTCATCGAGTGATAGACTGTTGTGGAATGGGATGCCCATAAAATCTAGCAAGTTAGTTACTAATTGCAAAGGGAAAAGGATAATTTTATTATTAAGAAATCTAGCAGACGCCTCCTGTATCAGATTATCAAACTATATGATTGACCATGGCACAATTTTCATCATGTACCACCTATGGAGACATTCTGAGGAAGACCTATCGCCCCTGACGTGGTTTTCATGCCCTGTGGTTACCTGGTTCAGACTAGGAGGAACAATCTCTCAATTCAAACTGAGAGACATTTTATGGAGAAAACTGGTCTAGAGTCAAAAATATAAAAAATCTCAATGCCACGAAAGGTTAAAAGAAAAAACTTGGTTTTTGTTCTCGGAATAGATAAAAAGGAGACTGAAATGCGTGTCAACAAAATGCGTTGTGTGATTTTTTGGTTTTTTTCTGTTTTTTTGTTTTTTTGCTGTGTGATTTTTGGTTGGATCCTGTCTCTGATCTTAGGAGACATGATAATGTTTTTTGGGGTAAAGTTTCATGAGGTCTGTAACTCAGAAAAGAAAGACAGCAAACATTGAAAATATAAACACTTGGTGAATCTACGTCCAGGGTGTATGGATATTCACTGTACTATTCATGCAAATCCTTTGCAGCTTTTAAGTTCTAAAAAAGAAGCAAAACATATCTAGCGAAAATTATACAGAAGTGGTATGAGCTTCAGAAATGTATTTTCGAATTTACAAAAAGTATTGTACCATGCACTTTGTTCCTATTGAATATCATATATGTTTTCTAAGCAGTAGATTAACTCCATGACTTGTGTTTATATTATACAAGAAAGCAAAAAAGGGTATAATTATGTGAACAAACTGTGCGACTTTTATAGAAGTAATGAACTGAAACATTATTTGGTACTTCTGAGGAGACTAATTTTTAAAGGGCCCTAGCTGTATTTTCATCTAGTTTTTTTCAGTCCTTCTATTTTCATTTTTTATTACATAAAATTTAGCTACTTACTCACCGTCACCTGGACAGTTTAAGGGTCTAATATCAACTGGGTTGTAAACAAGTCTGAATGTTCCATAACATCACTGTCCTCCTGGTTCAAAGTGTCCTCTCTGCAAGTAGAAAGTAAGAGGTACAAATTAGCTTTAAATTTCCGTTAATTTTCTACTAATTATGAAACCCTACCCCATGCGGCATTCCTCCAGGAGAGAAGAGTGAGATCTTAGCTCTTTCCTCGCACCATTTCCTCTTCCTCTCTCTGGCCCCAGGTGACCTGGCAAGTGCAGGCTGTGATTTATGACTCCTCGGGTCCAGCCTAGGTCACCTGAACAGCCGGCCACCAACTGTTGAGTGGCACTTTTTTTTTTCCTCTTAACAAGTTTCCCTTTCATTATTTATATTGTTGGGTTTTCTCCTTCCTTTATTATTCTTTGGACTATAATTCGCACACCCTAAAACTCACCCATCATCAGTGGGCAATGAACTATGTGTTAGGAAGCACACTGAAGTGTTCAAAGTGTTTTTGAACGTTTCCGTCACCCCAGTAAGACTCTGCTTACAGTTCATCCTTGTTTCCACTCTCAGCCTGAGGCAGCTCGACTCTACTTCCTGTGTCTACGGACTTGCCTTTTCTGGACATTTCATACAAACAGAAAGTTACAGTATGAGGTCTTTCTCTCTGACTCTGTTCACTTAGCACAGTGTTTTTGTTTATCCAGGTTGTAGCCAGGATGAATGCTTCATTCACTTCTACTGTTGAGTAGCATTCCATTTGAATGGATACATCGAGCACTTTTCTCCATTCACTGAATCCCTGCTGGACAGTGGATTGTTTCCGGGCTTTGGCTGTTGTGAATAACACTGCTGAATATTTGCATGCAAGGATTTGTTTGTTCACGTATTT